CGTCTGCCCGCCCAGTTAAAACTCACGTCATCCATCAGGTCCCTGGGTTCCACTGATGGGAATCGCTCCACCGACAGGTTCAAACTTCTATACAGAAGCACCGTGAGCAGAGTTGTGGCTAGCGAACACCCAGCTAAGATCCCTTGGGCCGTGGAAACCGAGTACGACAAGCTACCAAAGGCTCTAAGGGCTCTAGGCTGGGTGTAGTTCTGGATGGCCATCCAGGCCAAGCGGAGCGGGAACCCTGTGGCCCTGGCCTCCCCTAAGAGGGCCTGGAGGTCTACACATTCATAACATTTCACCATGTCTATGAAAACAGTTACACAATCCTCTCGCAATTCGTGCGCAATCTCCGAAGCTAAATTTAAAGAGAAGGCGCTGTCGCTGGACGATCGCCCTGGACCCGTCCCCCACACCGTGGGATGCGCGTGGTCACGCTCCCATGCGACAGCTGTTGGACGGCGAACACGTCCCCATATCCGAGTGAGGGTGTGCATTAGGGCGATCAGCCTGCAGCCGCCTGTGGACTTCGGAATACGCACAAGCTGGGTGAGAATGCGAGACGACGGCCATATCAGAAGCTTTTCACATCGCATGAACAGGCGCGCCAGCGACTCCAGGCCGGCGTCCGAAACGAACCAGAACGCTCGGGGCGCAAACTCGAAGTGCCCGATGCCCGTGGTCCAAGGGAACTGCAAGATCGCACGCTTGATATCGTCCAAGGATATATGTGGTAGATCGTCCCACTGATCAGACCCGTGTGGAACTGGCTCAGGAAGATCATGCATGTGCCATATGGTGTCCCACTCTCGCATCGCTCTGTCCGCCATCTTGAATGGCTGCGCCTCCGAACCAGGAAGCAGGCAGGCAGCGCAAACTTCCTGAAGTGCGCGGCCTCGAGTGTGACGGTGTGCGAAACGACCTCCACCTTTGAACGACGAAGCCGCCCACTCTCGCCAACACGCTAGAGCCGTGTCATTCTGGCGCTTCTGGCAAGCGTCCGCCCGATCGATGATACTTTCAATCATGAGATTCGTGCTACCACTAGTGACAAAACCGATGTCCATGTCGAAGAAGTTCCGAGCATCATCATCCAAGGCGTCACGTAAAGGATCGTTGCGAATCCTTGCCATGAACTTGGTGATGTCCACTAGCATGCGAGCCAACTTGTCGAAAGCCTTGTTGGACATCGTGCCCGCCCGCTCCTGATGGCATAGCAGCACAGTCTGATTGACAAGGCTCTCCTTATAGCGGCGTAAATGGCGGGCCCATCGGCCTGCTGCTCTCCGAGCTCTGTCTCGTGTTGTCTGCTCACCTCTGCGCCTGGGCGGCTCCCAACGCAACTTAGTATACTGCATTTGGGTGTCTCCGCCTCTGCCTCGATAAGCTTCTGTGTGAGATCCGACAATATCATATCTGGCAAGCAACTCTATCTCCAGCTGTGCCAAGACTGCATCCCATGCAGCACCCAATGTGGGATTATCAATCGCTTGATCTATAATACGATTGACCTGGCTCCAGTTCAGAGGGTATCTAGCGCACCCAGGCTTCGGCTGTCTCGAAGGGCGCTTCGGGCTGACCAGCGTGCGAGTCTTCAGAACAACATCCTTCCCCATGATAGGTAATACTACTGGCAGGTGTGGGAATGTGTCTCCATTTTCCTGCACATACGGGCGGCTCGTTCTGGGGAGCAGATTGGTGGTCATCAGGAAATAGTCTATCGTCCTGCCTGGCAACGACTGCCTGCACGTCGAGACTGATGGGCGTGCCAGCGCACCTCCCAATCCATACAGCCATTCCATGTCCCCGAACTCAGCCTGCTCAAGGTTGAAGTCTCCCGCTACGATCCAATCAAGACCCATTGCGTTGACAACTTCAATGTACTCGCAGATATCAGCCAAGATGCGAACGTTATTATCAGAGAGGCCTTCATTCACATATAGATATGTTGAAATCAGAATGAATCCCCCAGGCACCCCCCAATGGACGTGGGCAGCCAGCGCTCTCCCATTCGCCATATGGGGCGTCGAGCGCCCTGGGGGGGCCGTGACCAGCACGTCTCCCTTAGCCAGGATGGCCAGGCCCGCCTGAGTGCCCTCCTGGTTGCCCGTCTTGGTGGCCGAGCTCCAGACTCCATGCCAGCCAGGGTCCAAGGCTCGATGCTGCAGGTCTGGAAGACGATCCTCTGCGACGTGGTGCTCTTGTATAGCCACCACAGTGTGCTCGCAGGAATCAAGGAAGCGCAACAGCTGACCCTCCTCAGAGCAATTGAAAGTCACAACAGAGCCCTTACGGTCAGGAACATGATTACCATCATCATCTGCACCCGGGTCAGAAAAAGAGAATGGGCGGCCCCAAGCATCATCCTTGCCATCACCTCCGCCAGTTGTCCCAGCCAGAAGCCCAGCAGATCCAATGCCTGAGCAAACCTCCCCGTTGTCGACCAGACGGCCTCCGCGATCGCGGGAATCAAAATCTGGCGGGGCATTCTGCCCTGCTCGTCGAGGAAGCAGTACGTCTCGATCGGCCGTAGACAGGCCGACCTTGCTGGAGGCCTTGCCTCGGCGCTGGCGCGCGCTCGCCTTGGCCAAGGCCTTCTCGCGCGCTCCAACGCGCGCCAGCAGCTGGGCCCGCCGCTTGCTGCGGGCGGCGCTGGCCTCGGCCTGGGCCGCTGGGGAGCGGCTGGGGCCTGCCGCCGCCGCCGCCTGCCCGAACAGCGGGTTGGCGTCCAGCCCCCCAGCAACCGTGCCGATGGTGCCAGATGCCCTTGCCAGCGGCAGGAGCGCCAGGAGCAGCAGCGCTCGCACCAGGCTAGGCAGCAGACACCACCTTGGCCCTCTTGACCTCGCGCCAGCCGCCCAGCGCGTCGGTGATCTTGCGCACCTGGCCGCGGAGCTCCGAGCTCTCCTGGGACGGGTCCACGCCCGAGCTGGAGAGGAACTCGCGCAGCTCCTCCTCGGTCGCCGTGTCGGGGTCTGGGAGGTCAGGGCCTGCCTCCGGCCCCTTGGCGCCCTGGCTGGGCACGGGCTCGGCCTTGGCCTGAGTCGCCCTTGCCTCGGCTGCAGCCTTGGCCTCCTGCGCTGCGGCCTCGACCTTACGCTTCTCGTACTCACGGACCTCGCCCAGCACCGCGCCGAGCTTCTCCGCGAGCACCCCGCTATCGCCGAGCTCTGCCAACATCGCGCCCATCTTCTCGATGGTGACGCCGAGCCCCTCGACGATGTCAGCCTTCGGCGAGACGCCTCCAGCTGGTGGCCGAGGGAGCGTGGCGGCAAGCCGCGTCTGCTCCTGCTGGAGCTCCAAGATCGCCGCGTCGGACTCGGCGATCTGCTGCGTGGCCTCATCCACCTCCTTATTGGCCTGCACGACCTTGTCCTTGGCCGTCTGCAGGGCCTCCTCCTGCTTGGCGCGCTTCTGCTCGAGCTTGCCCAGCTTGAAGGACAAGGTGCGCAGCTGCGCTGGGACGGGCTTCGCAGCCGCCAGCTCCGCGCTGAGCTTCTTGCGAGTGTCCTCCAGCTCGACACGAGCCGTCTCGAACAGGACCTCGCTGGAGCCCGCGATGGCCCGCAGCGCGGCGTCGACCTCCTCGAGGCGAGCCCGCTTCTGGTCCAAGGAGTCACCCTGGCCCTCACCGTGCTCTGCGCCCTCGTCGACCTCCATGAACGGCCCCTGCAGCTTGCTGGTGGTCTCGGCCAGCTTGGCCTTGGTGCTGGCAAGCTCCTTTGCCAAGGCCTCCAGCTTGTCATTGACCCACGGCGGCACCGCAGTGGAGCCGTTGCCCGATGGATTAGCTGCTGGCGGCTTGGCACGCTTGGTGGACGGTCCAGGCGGCGGGCGAACACACATGAATGCCACCGCCTTGGCCGTCCCGCACTTGGAGCACGACACCGTGTCGGACCGATTCCACCACTGGTTCTGCGTGATCGGGTGGACGCAGAACTTGCAGCACCAGTCCTTAGCCTGCTCGCGGCGCCGCTGCGCATGGCGGTTGAGCTTCTGGGGCCCATCGCCTGCCATGCCACTGCTGCCCGCTCCTCAGGCGTGCTTCGGAAGGAAGCCTGCGCCGCCTGGGCAGGCTGACGCAGGCGTGCGTGAGATGTAGCAGTTGCTGGGGCAGACCAGCACTGCAAAACTGGTGATCGGGCGAATCGCCCTCGCACTGCCGCGGACTAGCGGTATCCGTTTGGCCCCCGAGGGAACCGCACATCTTGAGCCAAAATGGCTACGGAGGAGGAGGAGGAGGAGGAGGAGGAGGAGGAGGAGGAGGAGGAGGGGGGCGGAGGAGGAGGAGGAGGAGGAGGAGGAGGAGGAGGAGGAGGAGGAGGAGGAGGAGGAGGAGGAGGAGAGAGGAGGAGGAGGAGGAGGAGGAGGAGGGAGGAGGAGGAGGAGGAGGAGGAGGAGGAGGAGGAGGAGGAGGAGAGGAGGAGGAGGAGGGAGGAGGAGGAGGGGGAGGAGGAGGAGGAGGAGGAGGGGAGGAGGAGGAGGAGGAGGAGGAGGAGGGGGGGATGAGGAGGAGGAGGAGGAGGAGGAGGAGGAGGAGGAGGAGGAGGAGGAGGAGGAGGAGGGAGGAGGAGGAGGGGAGGGAGGAGGAGGTGGAGGAGGAGGAGGAGGAGGAGGAGGAGGAGGAGAGAGGAGGAGGAGGAGGGAGGGAGGAGGAGGAGGAGGAGGAGGAGGAGGAGGAGGAGGAGGAGGAGGAGGAGGAGAGGAGGAGGAGGAGGAGGAGGAGGAGGGGAGGAGGGCGGAGGAGGGATGGAGGAGGGCGGAAGAGGCGGAGGAGGAGGAGGACAAGGAAGTGGATGCCCTTCGTGGTGGGCCCTGGGTCCCCCACCCCCCTCATCACCGCCATCCAGCCTCGAAATCGGTTTTGATCTCGCTCTGGCCCCCTGGGAGGTTGCGCCTGCTCGAACGTGTGCTTCCCTGTCCCCAGAGGTCCGACAGTGAATCTGGGGGATGGCGGGGGGGTACTCAGGGAGTCCACTTTGACATGTCGGTCCGAGGTCCTCCTCATCGGTCTTGTCCTCCTTCTCGCACACGTCTTCAAAATCGTCGCAGCAGCTCCCGAATCTCTTGCACTCCGGGTTGCACTGGCACTCATTAAACGGCTTGAAGGGGATGCACCCGTACGCCTTGAGAGCTCTGTTTTTGGTTTCGCTCGAGATCGCGCAAGACCTCCTCCGCCTCCATTCGATTCCTCCTCCTCCTCCTCCTCCTCCTCCTCCTCCTCCTCCTACTCCTCCTCCTCCTCTTCCTCCTCCTGCTCCTCTTCCTCCTCTTTGTCCTCGTCCTCCTACTCCTTCTCCTCCTCCTCCTCCTCCCACTCCTCCTCCTCTTCCTCCTGAGCTTCACCATATCCTTCGCGTCTCTACCTATGCGTCTACCTCATCTACATCCTCCTCTGGCCCCTCCTCGTCGCCCGCCTCCCCCACCTTGGACCTTCGAGCCTGCATGTGAAGGGGCCCCTCGGAGCCGGGCGACCACCTCAAGTCAAACGCAACGACGACAATAGGCTCGGACACGCCAGCCGCATGCCACACTTTAGTTTCGTTGAATCTCTGAGAGGGCAACAGGATTATATAGAAACACGGAAGGCTTTTGCAGCGTAAATCCGCCGACCTCTTACGGGTCTCAAGGCGTGCGAGACTCCCCCCCCCCCTCGTCACCCCCCCGGGGACCCCAAACCGAAACTTTGACCCCTCCCCGCCCAAGCCCGCCCCCCCCCCCCAGGCCTGGCACGAACGCGGCGTAGGGGGATGGAGGGTTCCCCGACGACCCGAGGGGCCCCCAAAGCCACCAAAGACGGTCCAAGAAGGCCCCGAGTCGCCGAAATATCGCTCCGATGCGCTCAAGATGGCCTCCAGAGGGCCCAGGATGCATTTTAGCATACACGCAGGTTCACTCCTCACGGCGTGGAAGATGGCCGAGAATGGCCCCAAGCCCGCCCAGAGAGGTCCTCAAGAAAGCTCCGCCATGGCCCCCCCACGATCATGGCGCGGGGAGCCCCCTGGGCCAGAGCTCCGAGCCCTCTTTCCCCGGCCTAGATAAATATATATATATATATATATATATATATATGTACACACACACACCTATACGACCACCCTTCGGGTGATAGGAGGTTGCGGGGGGGGGAGAGGGGAGGGGAACCAACATCTGATTCAGTCGATCTCACTATCGATCTCACTCAACGGGACACCACGGGACACCACGGGACACTTGTCGATCTCACTATCGATCTCACTCAACGGGACACCACGGGACACCACGGGACACCTGTCGATCTCACTATCGATCTCACTTTTTGGTACACCACGGGACACCTCGGGGCACCACATCGATCTCAGTATCGATCTCACTATCGATCTCACTCAACGGGACACCACGGGACACCACGGGACACCTGTCGATCTCACTATCGATCTCACTTTTTGGTACACCACGGGACACCTCGGGGCACCACATCGATCTCAGTATCGATCTCAGTATCGATCTCACTATCGATCTCATTCAGCGGGACACCACGGGACACCACGGGACACCGCGGGACACCGCGAGCCACCGCTGGACGGGCGGGAGGGGGAGACTCATTTGTCTTGACGTATCCCTGGCAACGGCGGACACCACGGGACACCCGCGGGACACCGGCGGGACACCGCGGGGCACCGGTACATTTGGTCCGGCCGCGGCCCAGCCACAGGAGGATTTCCTCTCGCCCGCCCACGCAGCTTCGCCTCGCCCGCACGGACGCACGGCACGCACGACACGAACACGAAACAGAAATCGATCTCCCAGTAGGGGGGTCTCCGTTTCACCTCGGACTCATCCCCCAACCTCCGATATATATATATATACAGATACACATACATGTACATATACATACCTACCTACATACACCTACATGTGCGCGTGTGTGCGTGCGTGTGCGTGTGTGAGTTCGTGTGTGAGTGCGTGTGTGTGCGTGTGTGTGTGCGCGTGTGTGTGTGTGTGTGTGTGTGCGTGCGTGTGAGTGCGTGGGTGAGTGCGTGGGTGAGTGCGTGTGTGTGTGTGTGTGTGCGTGTGCGTGTGCGTGTGCGTGTGCGTGTGCGTGCGTGCGTGCGTGCGTGCGCGCGCGCTCGCGTGCGCGCGCGTGCGTGCATGCGTGCGTGCGTGCGTGCGTGCGTGCGTGCATGTGTGTCGGGCCATCGAGGGCGCGGGCATCTCCACGGGGCAGGGGGCGGCTGGACAGCCCGCCCACCTCTTCTCCCCTCCGCTTCCTGCTCCTCCCCCACCTGTTCCTTCCCCATCCCCCTCCGGCTTCCGCCTTCCCACCCCGCCCCTCTCTGCCGCCCCATCCCATGCCTCCCCCCCCAAAAGAGGCGCGACCTTGCAGCTGGGCTTGACGACGGCGGAGTGGTTGCACCACTTGTGCCCGCACGTCTCGCAGTTCTCCTTCGACGTCCGGCAGAACGTGTCGCTCATCATCGGGGCGTTCTCCCAGCACGTGCCGCAGAAGTCGCCGTCGTCGAGGGCGGCGCTGCAGCAGAACGTCTCGCTGGTCGTGGTGGTGGTGGTGATCGTCGTGCTCGTGGTGTTTGTGGTGCTCTTTCGGGCAGTCCCGGTCGTGGCGTTGGTGGCGTTGGTGGTGTTGCTGCTGGCACTGGAGCGGCCGCTGGTATTACTGGGGAGGAGCGCGGCGAGAGGGAGCCCGCCACCAAGCTGACAGGGATCTAGCACGGTGAAGCCCCTAGACATAAAAACAGATCCGCTGCGATTGCATTCGGAAGGTACGTCCGCAACATGGGACGGGAAAGTCCAGACAGGGCATCAAATGCGGGTCCTGAGAACACGGTATCCCCGCCCCTCCTCCTCCTCCTCCTCCTCCTCCTCCTCCTCCTCCTACTCCTCCTCCTCCTCCTCCTCCTCCTCCTCAACAGAAGCTGTGCCACCCAGCCTCGAACTCTCGTCCCGCAGTCATGTTTTGGAGAAGTGCAGATTCGGGGGCAACTCATGAGAGCCTCCCATGCCATCTTGTCGGCTCTTGCGAATCACCGCTCGACGCTACATTGACACGATTCGACGCTAATCGACGCTACATCGACGCAAGTCTACGCGAACCGACGCTAAGTCGGCGCTATCTCATCGACTCCCAGACACACATTGACGCCAAAGACGGAATCAAGAGGGCATGCCAGGCTCCCGTGACCTGCTGCCGCAGGCAGATCTCCGGCCCCAGACCGCCGAGCGAAGCGCGCCCATCCTCGCGACCCCTGCGGGGTCGACCCGGGGACAAAGGCCAGCGGGGAGGCCGAGGGCGGGCCTGCCGCGAAGCAGCTCCCGGACGAGAGGTCGGCGGAGGGAGGGAGGGCGGCCCCACGTGGAGGAGGAGGAGGAGGAGGAGGAGGAGGAGGAGGAGGAGGAGGAGGGGGGGGAGGAGGAGGAGGGAGGAGGAGGAGGAGGAGGAGGAGGAGGAGGAGGAGGAGGAGGAGGAGGAGGAGGAGGAGGAGGAGGAGGAGCCTGGGTCCGCCACAGGGGGATCGGACGGGGCTGGCCGACCTCTGCCAGGGCTGGACCCCGCGACCTGCGCCCCGACCATGGGAGCTGCCCTTCGGGAGCTTTCCAGGCAGCGTCCCCCGGCTCTGGCCCCCCTTTTGAGAGCCTTGTCTGGCCTCCTCCTCTTCCCCATCCCCTTCCTCCTCGTCCTCGTCCCCCGCACGTCCTGAAGAAGAAACCCCAAATGGTCCGATGTCCTCTACGCGCCGGATGAGTCCCAGGCCCTATGAGGGCGACTCCCCCTCCTGCATCCCTCTCCTTACCCGCCAGCCCACTTGTGGGCCAACAGGCTGCGAGGGGTAGGTGTTCCAGTTCCCTGCGCCAAGTCTACTTCCACATGTACCATTACACAATTATAGATGTGGTACCGCAGAGGAACCTGTCTCCGCGCAGGGGGGGGGTCGAAAAGGAACCTGCATCCACGCCAGAATCACGCAATCTGAAGTCCTGCGGGGGCCTTTGGGTATTAAAACTACAGCATACTCGCACTCTCGAGGCCAACATCTCTTTTAAGTTCCACCAGGTTCACGCCCCCGAGGCCGCAACCCCTGACGAGTTACACTAGGTTCGCGTCCCCGAGGCCACAAGCACCTGCAGGTTACACCAGATTCGCGCCCCGCAAGCCACAACTTTCGTAAATCATACTGGGTTCGCGCCCGCGAGGCCAGAATCCCGAATCGATTACACCAGGTTCGCGCTCCCGAGGCCACAATCCATCGTACATCACATGGGATTCGCGCCCCCCAAGCCACAGTCCTTAATACATCAAGCCAGAGTCGCGCCCCCGAGGCCACAACCCCTCGTACATGCTAACGAGCATTCATCCCCGAAGCCAAATTCCTTCGTTATGCCTATTGCGCACTGGCGCTCCCGAGGCCAAAGGACGCCAGGCTCGCGCTCCCCGCGTCGCAGCTCCTGGCGAAGAGCTCCAGACTCGCGCCCCTCAAGGCCACAACCCCTTTGAAAAGTACTCGACATACGAGGTTGCACCCCCGAAGAGACAGCTCCTCGTAGGTTTACCACGCGCGGACGCTCCCGAGGCCACACCCTCGCAGGGGACACCAGGCTCGCGCTCCCCAGGCCACAGCCCTTGACAACGCACGTGTGGCCCGCGCTCCCGAGGCCACGAAGCCACCCCGCGGAGGCCGCCCAGAAGCGCCACCCCCCTGCAGAGCGACAACAAGGTGCGAGCTCTGGACTGGCCGGGGGCGCGCAAACATGGATTAGCGATACATGGAGTTGGCGCGCCGTCGCCGAATCCATGGGTCAAGGGAGGTGCCCTCCCCAAAATGCGGCTGGTGCGGCGACAATCCGCGATTTCCTATGGAAACGGGACCCGTCGCTGATCCATGCCCCCTTGATCCATGTTTGCGATCGCCTGACTCTGGGGGGGTGTTCGGCGGCGCTTTCCAGCTCCCCCTGCCGTTTTCTGAGTGTTCGGCCCGGGGCTCGAGGCCACGAGTCCTCGTGAATGGCTGCGGAGGCGAGCCCCCGAAGCCAAGGCCCCCCGTGAAGTAAAGTAGACGCGCGCTCCCGAGGCCACCATCCCGCATGACTTATAACAAGCACGCGCCTCCAGCCAGCCAGCAGACAGCTCAAATCAATTGCAAGGCCTCCATGTAGACCCAAACCGACCAGCCGAGTTGCCAGCCAGCCCACCGACAAGAACACCAACCAGCCAACCAGCCAACCGAGCGCGGCCACGCACGGAATCTAAAGGGGTGCCGACAGCATAAGGCGAAGCCCTTGAGGTTCACGTCCGGACTGCGAAACACGTCCGAGAGACGGGTGCGTTGGTGTGGTTGCAGTATTACTGAGTCTCGCTATCTTTAATTCCCCCCTACCCCCCCCGCCAACTTTGCCCGCTGCCGACCCCGTCTCGTGCTGCACTTTTTCCAGCCGGGCCCCAGGCGGCTTGAGTGACTGAAGTTGCGGCTCCGACGGTCCAGAAAGCTCCCAAGAAGCGTGCACGGGGGTCTAGGAAAGCCCTGTGATGACCCAACAGGTCACCAAGACGGCCCGACATGACTTCCAGACTGCGCAAGGGGCTCCCAAAGGAAAACGCTTGGATTTCGAATCTTTGCATTTTTTGCTAAACAGCGTGCAGGACGGCCCCCAGGAAGCCCTCCAAGAGATCACCTCAAGACGGCTCAGGAGGGCCCCGAGAAGGCCCAAGAGGGGCATAGGACGGCCCAAGAGGCGCCCAAGAAGGCCCCCAAAGGGCCCCCAGAAGGCCTCAAGTTTCCTCCACCCGCTCGAGCAGCGGCCCGCAAGAGGCTTGAATACTGGCAGGAGTCGTACCGGAGCTAGCGCATACTAGAACGGGTACTGCATAAGCTCTCGCAGGAGTAGTAGTAGTGGTGGTAGTAGTAGTAGTAGTAGTAGCAGCAGCAGCAGCAGTAGTAGTAGTAGTAGTAGTAGTAATGATAGTAGTAGTAGTCGTAGTAGTAGTAGTAGTAGTAGTAGTAGTAGTAGTAGTAGTAGTAGTAGTAGTAGTAGTAGTAGTAGTAGTAGTAGTAGTAGTAGTAGTAGTAGTAGTAGTAGTAGTAGTAGTTAGTAGTAGTAGTAGTTAGTAGTAGTAGTAGTAGTAGTAGTAGTAGTAGTAGTAGTAGTAGTAGTAGTAGTAGTAGTAGTAGTAGTAGTAGTAAGTAGTAGTAGTAGTAGTAGTAGTAGTAGTAGTAGTAGTAGTAGTAGTAGTAGTAGTAACAGTAGTAATTAGTAGTACTAGTAGTAGTACTAGTAGTAGTAGTAGGAGTAGTAGTAGTAGTAGTAGTAGTAAGTAGTAGTTATTACTAGTAGTTAGTAGTAGTAGTAGTAGTAGTAGTAGTTATAGTGTAGTAGTAGTAGTAGTAGTAGTAATAGTAGTAGTAGTAGTAGTAGGGCGCCAAGGAGGCCCCAAGAGGCCTCCAAGAGGCTCCAAGAAGCCCCCAAGAGGCCCCCAACAAGCCCAAAAAAAGCCCCAAGCTGCCCCAAAACAGCTCCCCAGAAGCCTCCAAACTGCCTCCCGCAGGCCCCCGAGAGGATTCTCACGACGACGGCGCCAGAGGCTCCCACAACGGTCAACGAAGCCCCCAAGATGGCCCCAAAAAGGTGCCCAGCCTACGCCGTCGAGTCTGTCGCCGCCATTGTCGTCCTCGTCGTGTTCTCCTGCTCCTTCTCATCCTCCTCTTCCGCCCCCTCCTCCCGTCTCCCCTCTCAGCTTTCTGTCTCGTATTCCCTCCACTGGCTCACTTTTCACCTTCTCCGCCTTTGGCTGCTCCCCCATCCTCCCTCCTCCACGTCCCCCTTATCCATCCCGTCCCCAGCGGTCAGATTCCTCGCAACTTCCGTGCCTTGTCGCAATGCTCGTCACTTGGTTCCGCCGGGCGTTTCGGAGGGTCTCTCCGCGGCGCTCGTCCCGCTTTAAAACACTTCGCGCACACAACTGGGTTGTTTCGCTTGAAATAATTCTTCTTCTGGTCTTTCGACAAATGGCCCCCGTCTGAAAACGCTGGTTTCTTCCCGTCCCCGTTCGGTGGGCACGCGGAGCATTCAAACTTTTTCGCCCCCGTGCGCGCATCGTGACACGCGCGGCACACGACTGGGCGATGCGCCTGGCCCGTCTTCCTATAATGTACTTTCTGGTTATCGGACAAATGGCTCAAGTCTGTGAACGCGGGCGCCTTCCCATCCGCCCCCGTCGGGCATGCTCCACAACGGAAAATCTGGGCCTCCGATTTTTCGTGGCACGCGCGGCACATGACCGGGCGATGCGTTTGGCCCGTTCTCCTGTAATGTTCTTTCTGACTGTCCGATAAATGGCTCACGTCTGTAAACGCGGGCCTTATCCATCCCGTCCCCAGCGGTCAGATTCCTCGCAACTTCCGTGCCTTGTCGCAATGCTCGTCACTTGGTTCCGCCGGGCGTTTCGGAGGGTCTCTCCGCGGCGCTCGTCCCGCTTTAAAACACTTCGCGCACACAACTGGGTTGTTTCG